CACTTCACCAGGTGCTCCTCGCCGGCAGAGCACTCCTGGGTGTCCGTGTGGTTCACGCCCAGCTCGTACTCGACTACGGCCAGCCGCACCGCGCGCTGCCGCCGCTCGTCCTCGTCCGCCTCCTCACTAGCGCTGGGGGCGCCTTCGGCCTCCCCGGCCTCCCCGGCGCCGAGCAGCTGCTTGAGGCCTTCGAGCAGCTCCCGCGCGCCGTACTTGGAGCGGTAGGGCTCGGTCTCCGGGTCTTTCTTGGACTCCACGTAGGAGAGGTTGAGGGCGTTGCGGAACCTCTCGCAGAGCGAGGCCCACTCGGCCTCCGCCGCCGCCGCCATTTGCTTGCTCCGCGCTCCTTCTTCTCTGCGGCCGCCGCTCGTCACCTAACTCGGCTGGCGTCGCCGGCCCCCTGCCCCACTGCTCCCGCGGGTACTCCGCATGCGCGGGCAGAAACGCGCATTCGCTCCACCGCGGTGTTCCCTCATTCAAAATGGAGGCTTGGCAGCGGCGTGGCGGTGGGAAGAGTGGGCCGTTGCTTGTGGCAACGGTCGCTGGGCAACCTAGGAATCTGTGAAAGCCGTTGCTAAGCCACCTACGTTCAGGGGTCGCATCTAGAAGGCTACCAAGCTCCTTCCAGTCACGGCTTCCAGGGATATGGTCGCGCATGTAGTTTTCCTGACACCAATACGGAAAAGGGTTTTGCCATTGCTTCGACTTTTTCGACTTCCCCACTAACGTGTAGCCCTAGGATTTCTTTGTGGTCTTCCATCCGGGTATCAATCTGCTCCAACTCTAGCTTTTTCAAATCAGGTAAGGTGCTTCCATTTACACAGATCGGGTTATTTTAAAAATCACTTCTACCCCTTCCTGAAGAACCCTGGGAACTGTAATTCTACAGAGAAAGCAGGCAGACACAGACTCTCCCCATTTGAGTTTTCATGATTTTAAAATTAAATTCACGATTGAATTTAATTGTCCAACTTTTTCCTCACTCAGAATCATGTTAGCTTTCCCAGAAGTGTGTTGCTTTTTTAATGTCAGTATATTACATGCATTCCTCAGCCATTTTGAATATTTAGCATATTTAAAAGGGTTGGTAACTGGATTTTTGCACCCCACATATTGTATGTATCTTCGTGTGCTTTTGGTTTTCTAATGCATCACTAGTTTATTATTATAATTTCAGCTTCATCTCTGTAGGTTACTCAAAACTTTGCTTATGGGTAAACTTCTAAAGAGAGCTTGTGGGTGCTTTGGGTGACTGGGACAATGCACAGATACTGTCCACCTCCTTGCACAAGCCTGCTTTCCCAAGCTTGCCTAGGTGATAGTGGGCTACCCTAGGCCTCTACCTTGATTATATTCATGTCTATATCGGGGTTGCCGAAATAGGGGTGGCTTAGCATTCCATGTATGTCATGATGACCACAGACCTATTCCAATTGTAATGTATCCAGGACACGTGCTGGAAATGTTTTTTTTTTAAAGCTTTGTAAAACAATCTGAGGGGTAGAGAAACATAAAGACACAAACATTTATGATTTATAGGGATTGACCTTAAAACCCTACTACTTTAAACTGTAAGTAGTCAACTCCAGGCTTGCAAGATCTAGTTCATTTTTATACTAAACCTCAATGGCTCAGTAACTAAAAGGAATTGCGCCCACAGATGTGAGCAGAAATAAAGTTCACAGCCACTTATCCCCAATCCATTACCTGGGCAGTTACCCCTAGACTTTCTTCATTTCAGCAGTACTATTATGGGCAAGAAAGGACTCATTCTATTACTGTCTTTACACTATAGGCAATATTAAAAATTATACTTTTTTAAGCAAATCACCCAGGAATCTACTTTTGCTCAGCATTTTACGTAGAGGGAATTCTAATTATTTGAAATTAGACCAGCACTTCCTGTCTGTTTTTTTAATGGGGAACAGTATCATCAAAAGCTTTTGAGGGGTATCACATAAGCCAGGGATTGGGATCTCTGAGCAACATGCTACACACAATGAACCAGAAAAAGATATGCAGGATTCCCAAATAAAATACAAATTCTATTTAATTTTTTAAATAACACCTCAAAAAAGCCTAACATAATAGCCAATATTTACTTATACAAATAAAGGAATGTATTATAGAAAAAGTAAAAATAGTGGTGCTATAGTTTCTTTAATGAACAATGTAAGCTAACCTCAACTTCTGCAATTAATGATTTCGATTTAAAATGTCTTTCAATTTAAGTTTAATACTGGGTGTCTCCCTCCTCCATGTTAGGGCATATACAAAAAAAAAGGTTGATCGCACTCTTCCAGATATGTGGCTTTTTGACAACCTGGTCAGCTTCATGGGGTAAAAATGTCTTTGGAATTATATTTAAATTGCCTTTTGTCCTACTTCTGCCACATATGTCCTTGGAGTTAAAGGTACCTGCCAGGCTCATAGCTCTGATTTAATTAAATAATAGTATTTTTAAAAAGGAAGCCAACTGATTGAGCAAAGCTCAAATTCTAAGAATACCTCTGTATATGAAATGGTCCTCAAAAGCTTTCTTAGAAAGTAAGAATGATGGATGACTATAGATCATTGTTTTGTTTGAAATTCTCACTTGTCTGGAAAAAGGTAAACAGGAATATTACAGATCATCAGAGGGTGGGGGGAGGGAAGAGAAGCCACAGGGAGCATCTTCAATATATTCTCAAAATTTCTACTGAGCCTACCAGCCTCCAAAGGCTAGAGGTTGACTCATCCCCAAGATGCTGGGGGGACTACAACTAATTGTGATAGTACAGTAGTCCTTATCCTTAAATAATCTTTTCAACCTGAATTTTTACAGCCAAAACTGAATGAGACACATCCAGGCTAGTAAGTAAAACATAAATTATCAGGCTAATAAAGTGTAAATTAATTTTACTTCTGATAAAACAAGAGATTCAGTCCCATTTAGATATATTAACAAATTATCAAAAAGCTTGGTTAAAGCTTCGTTTTTGGCCCCTGTTTCTGAATCGGTCATGCCTGTTGAAACCACCACTTCGTCTTCCATTCCTGAATTCTGAGCCTGAATTTCGGCCTCCCTCACGTGGTGAATCTTCAAGCTCAGGCAATTCAGTTGCTACAGAAAGCTGCCAGCGTCTTGTATCTTGCCATGTTTCCTAATTTAAAAAAAAAAAACCTTTTCATTATTCTATAGGAAGAGCAGAACTAACAAACATGCATGTTGACCAACATTTGCTACTCAACACAAAAAAATGCTTAAGCTTCGCAGAAGAAGAGATACACATGAATTATAATTAACTGCTTCTTGTACCTGAGTTCAAGAGTAGTTTACAGGTCATGCCATCTTTTAGAACAATGTTTTCAAAGCATTTCAACACTTGGTATTTAACATAACACTGAAAAAGCAGGCTCACAGTAAATGAAGGTTGCTTTCAAAAGTTGGAAGCACCCTTATAAAACAATAATAGGAAAAGACAACTTGTTTAACCTTGAATCAGAAACAATCCATTCTTTAAAAAATAATGTACAATCACCAGCAACACAGGGCAGGAGAAGTGTGAGATCCTGGCCTAATGACAAAATGGTCCTGGCCTAATGACTGCAACCAGAACTACCAAAACTGCCATCACTAAGTGGTGTGGTCACGTGATGTTTCACCTAACGACCACATTGCTTAGTGATGGAAATTCCAGTCCCAATCAGGGTCATTACGCAAGGACTACCTGTACATACTTAAGTTTACTCTGGCATTCCATGAAGCCTCTTGCAATAGGTGCAATGTGAAACAAGCATACAAGCAAATATATTTAAGATCATCAGGGTATGAATGACAGCTGAAGGGCAATTATCCAATGGCATGAGCTACTCAAGAGAGATTCACAGAACAAACCGCTATGTACTAAAATCTTACCTTTATTTTATTTAGTTCAGCTACTGGAATATCAAAACATACGCCCTAAACACAGGAAAGAGGCAGAGAAAGTGTGTCATTGAAGAAATTCAAAACTCTCTGGAGAACAGGATACATGCATTACTATACAAGTTTCAAACAATAGGTTAGTCGAGCACTACCTGTATTTATTCAATAGTCCTATTTATAATGGTTGAAACACAGGAATGATGAACTGGAACTCATTCATAAATTATAACCATTCAAATCCTGGTTTTCTCCATTTAAGTCCAAAGCTGTCTTTTGGATAACATTATCTAGCTATAAAAATCCTCCCCAATACCTTACCAATACTATGTGTCGGACTTCTGCTTTGCTCATTACCAGATTAGGCATGAAAGAAAGCAATTACTAGAAGAAAATTCTCAGGTAACACCTATAACCTGTATAGGACAGAAAAAAAGTTTCTTACCATTTTTCCTTTGAGAAAACACATTCTGGATATTTTGTTGTCAATGTCCTCACCCAGTTGTTCTTTCAGACCCCGCCAAGCATAACCAGTGGCATGCATCTGTACTGAGCACTGAAGTATCATGGTCACATAACCCTGTGTTTTAAAAAAATGGTTATATACATTTATAATAAACAGTATGATTATTAGTATACACAGACAAATTACTGAAGCTATTATTAAATGATTTTGAGAGATCTGCTAAACCATTGTTCAGTCGATACCTGCGAAATCTTTTTTCCTTCAACACAACTTGGTTGAGTTCACCCATCATGCTAAACAACATTCAAGGGGAGGAAAAACTAAAAATTAATAGCAGGCCAGACATTATAATAACCAGCCAGAAAGGCACCACGTGTGGACATGACCAAAAGAAATGTACTAATGTACCTTTGAATTTACTTTATCAACAGCATAATGATAATAGCCAACTATTTTTAATTTACATTAGTTTTACTTCATGAAACACATTTAACATTTCTTGAGACCTGAAGCTATTGATTTGTAATATAGGAAACTCGAATTCTTAATTCCAAATTTCTTATATAATATTCATATTTAATTTTATAATCTCCCCAAATCCCTTTGAAATACATTCAAAATCAACTATGATTGCATGGGCAAAGAATTTTGGACACTCAATAGATTTGGAAAAATGGGAGAATTTATGGGAGAAAAACTATACTTTGACAATGTCCACAGCATACAAAGAGAATCTTTATAAAATGTTCTATAGATGGCATTTTCCCCCTTCAAGATTAGCAAAGATATTTAAGAATAAATCTACTAAATGTTGGAAGTGTCATCAAGAATTAGGATCCTATTACCATATGTGGTGGACTTGCTCAGAAGCTAAAAAATATTGGATGAAAATACGTGAATGGCTAGAAAGAATGACACTTCAAATACATAGAAATGAAGCCAGAGATATTCCTATTAGGAATGATACCAGAAAATTATAGTAAAGAAGATATATATTTGATCTTGACTGCAGCTAGAATTGCATTTGCTCAGAATTGGAAAGGGGAAAAGATACTGAATGATGAAAATATAATAAGGAAGATATT